TTTTTTTTTTTTTTTTTTTTTTTTTTTTTTTTTTTTTTTTGCTGAGGGGGAATGTTTTTTCCTCTCTAATGAAGCCAGGCCAAGATCAAAATGGCCTTGCATTCCCCATGCATCTGTCTCCCTGCAAGCAGCAGGGCTGCAGATCTGAAGCAGGCCAGGGGGAGAAGCTGCTTAGGGTTTAAATGTCAAACTCTTGATCCTTCTCACCGGAGGGGAGATGTCTCATGGATAATCCAGAAATGTGAAATAATCCCAAAACCGTTCCTCCCAGACTCTGGGATGGAAAATGAATGGGTGTGGGGGCTGGGTGTTTGGGTAGGTCACAGCTCAGCACAGTGTATTAATGGAACCGCCCAGCTAGGCCTGAATGCAGGAGGAGCTGGGATGCCATCCAGCCCCACATTCTAGCCTGTTCCCCACCCAGTGCTGGCAGTTAGCAGCCCTGTCCTCACAGGGACACATGCAGTCCCCGGGACATCTGTGCAGCCTCCCCACGGATCAGGCATGGAAGCACCACAGAGAAGGTGCTTGATCCTCAGAGGGCCTCCAGTTCAGAGGAAAGACAGTCAACGCGGAGTGGCGCAGAACACCTGATGGCTAGAGCTGTGGGAAAGGAGGGGACAAGGCCAGCCAGGCGGTTGTGAGAGCCTGCAACAGGATGCCCAAACCTTACAACTGCTGCCAGCAAGATACAGGGGCTAGACAGTAGATGGCAAGGAGCATTCTGGGCCGAGGGAACAGCAGTGTGTACCGTCTTGAGGCAGGGAGGGATTTGGCTCTGAAGAAGTCTTGGATGAGAAGTCAGGGAAGCTAAGCAAGGGCCGGGCAGGCAGAGCCAGGTCCTGAAAGACACTGCAAGGAATTTGAATCATTCCAAGATGTGCAGGGAGCCATTGAAGACGGTCACGGTGGAACCGGGCAAGTGTTGGAAGGAGGGAAAGCAGACCAGCCAGCAGCGCTGGAGGCTTGTGCTAATGTGCTCTGGGGTAGTCCCTCTTCCTTAGTTAGGATAACGTACAAACGCCTCTGCGTAGGGCAACTGTCTGGGGCCAAGGACTAGTTAAAATCATGGTGAGAGTGAGAGAGGTTGGAGGATACAGAGACGAGAGTGGCAGGGAATAGAATTAATAGAGTCTCATTATGAACAGAAGGCTTAGGCAGTGAAGACGACATGCTCGCCCTCCAACAGATAGTGAGAGGCTTTGGTGGGTATTGGAGAGGCAGCAGTTCAGCTCAGCTGCTCATCTTGAGCCCCCTCGGAGCTCATTCCATGGCAGGTCCTGGGGAGATAAAGCAGACATGGCTCCTTTGGGGAGCTCAGCATTTACTCCAGGAAGTCAGATGCTCCAGGCACAGAGAGCACCTGAAAAACACCTGGTAGGAGATGGCAGGTGCCCAGAGGCAGGGAGAAGCCAAGATTACACACCGGGCGCTGGGCGCTGTGCTCAGAAGTCATCCTGCTGCACTCGTGTGTCGTCCTGTGTGACGTGACCCCAGGAATCTGTAGTCTGCAAAACATGGAGCCATCCCTGCTCCTCAAAGCTTGCCTCACGGCTGCTCTTCGTCCACATCCCTGGCTGCCCATCTATCTACAAGATGATGGGCCGCCTTAGGTGAATCCTGCGCCTCTCTGGTGGTAGTGGGGGCCTGGGCTGTGTTTTGTTTTAGGGGACCAGGGATTGTTTTGTGACATAAGGTCTTGCTATGTTTTAGCCCTGGCTAACCTGGAACTAACTCACTGTGTAGATCAGGTCGACTTGAAACTTGCATCCTCCCGCCTCAGCCTGCTGAGTGCTGGGGTTACGGGCATGTACCACTGGGTCCAGAAGGTTGAAATTTGTTGTAAATGAATTTTGTGGGTTTGTGGTAAAAATTTGCCCTTGAGCTTGAAGAAGAGGCAAGATTATGGGGATGGAAGGACACTGCAGGCCTTGGGAGCTAAGGGTGAAGGCAAGTTCCATCCCAGAGAGAGCTGGGAGATGAAAGGTCAGAGGACACAGTAGGGAATGTGTGTCCTGGTTCTGCTGAGTGCTGTAGATGATAGGACAGTTAGGGGTGGGCCAAAGGAGGTCTCCATCTTCTTGGGTCCCCTGAATGAAAAGCAGAGCCAGACAGACCAGCTCCATATTGGGACCCTTGAACCAAAGATCAGCCACAGCAGCCCCCAGGAATAGAGGTGAGAAGGTGGAGAGGGCCAGATCTATTCAGGAATCTCTAATCCTTTTTCCCTCCCTACTAGCTCTTGGCTCTAGAACTGAGGCCAAGAGAAATGTCACAGGTCCTCCCAGGTTACACCAGCTGGGGCCTGACCGGAACAGGAGGCAGTTTCCAAGGCCACCATCCAGCCGGGGTCAGCAGGCATGCCCAGGCCTAGGCCAGGCCCTGCTGCTCTGGGCTTTGTCTCTCTGAGTCTTGAATCCTTAAGAGGTCACTTGATCTTGCTTCTGGCTCTGAGCGAGAGGCCTCATGTCAGGGCTCAGCCAGCCCTGCCTTGCTTCCTCCTCCAGGTCTTCTCCCCCTTCTGAGGTCATCCTCCAGTTCTACTGCTTGCCTTCCCTGTAACCATATTTAGGCCAGGCCTTTTTGTTCAGGGCCCCCGCTTCTTGGAAATACCATCTCTCTATGAACATACCTTCTGCTGCTGCTCCTCTCCCTGCACCCCACATCCCTGGTAAAAGCAGACCTCTAAAACTGGCAGGCAGTGGCTCAGAGTGCATGTCTGTGGTTACACACGGGCCCCTGTACGCAGCTTGGTCCCACCCCTTACCGGCTAGGTGATCTGGTGACTCACAGGACTCAGTGACTCACATTCTCTCTATCTCTTGTAAGAATTAAGGGGATTGACATGTAAAGCCCTTAGCCCCATCCTGGCCCACAGGAAAGCACCTAGTCAGTGGCTGGTGGATGGGTGGATGAATACGTTCCCACAGTCTGAATTCTGGGTCCCCAGTTCAAGTAGTGTGAGTCACACATTTCCAACCCCTGTCCCTGACCATGGCTTGACCAAAGATAGCCCTCCTGCATCTGTCATCTGCTGCCCTTCTACAAGGGCCTTGTATTTTCTGGTGTGGGCCTGGAGCATTGGGAAGCCTTGCTATTTCTCCTGGGGCTGGAGATGTAGCTGAGTGTTAAGGTGCTTGCCTATTATGCACACGTAAGACCCTGGATTCTGCCCCCAGTCCTGGGGGAAGTGGAGGATAGGCCAATCAGTGTTCTCTCTTTATCCCCCCCCCCCCTCAGTTTTTTTTTTTTTTTTTTTTTGAGGTAAGGTTTCTCAGTGTAGCCTTGGCTGTCCTGGACTCACTTCATAGACCAGGCT